GTGCCCGCGTAGGGACTCCCGCAGGGTACCCACGTGGGCGTTTGGCGTGCCACGGGCGAGGCTTGACGACGCGAAGCGAAGAGTGGAACCAAAAGTGGAGAGTGGAACCAAAAGGGAGAGAAAGTCCGAGAGAGAGAGAATCTCGCCCGCCCGCCCGCCCGCGCGTGCGAATGAAGACCCGCGCCCTCGACGGAAACTGCGAGTGCGCGCTGCCGTATGGGCGGCGGCATGCGAGCGGCTTAATCGCTGTAAATAATCATCGGCGTTAGTTAAAAACTCATTGGACATTAACGACTTAATAATTGCCTTTCCCGTAATTGTAAGTGTGCTTTATTAACGAGGAAATGCTCGCGGAGTTAAGTGAGATTAAACTCTCGAGCGCCAAGCCGCGCGTTCATCTTCCGCCGCTTGAACAGCGGTGCCACGACGGAGTGCGTGGTGGGCATGGGGCCCACGTGGGCATGGGGCCCACGTGGGCATGGGGCCCACGTGGGTACCGACCGGGGTTCCCACTTGTCCTGGTTTCCCCAGGATCGTCCTCTTTGTCGAGGAGGTTGCCGCTGTCCTGGAGAATCCGTGAGCCTTCTTGGGACATTATCAGAATCAGAATATTTCATTTATTCTGGAGGAATCCGATGAGGCGTCCAGCTCTTTTTCACAGATGTTCAGTTATTGTCAGTTTTAGAATATGAAGAATAACAGTAATATATGCATTGTCTGTGTCGGGTGGTGGAGGGTTACGTCACATTTATACTTTTGAGATCTAACCCAAAAACCTTAATTATTATTAATATTGGTCGCGAAAGCCTACGTGTTAAACGAACAGTAACATACGCAACTCGAGACCATGTATTTAAATGTAGCGGCCCCCATCCACCACCTGGCTCCTACCCCTGGCCGACCCCCTTTGTCTTCCCAATGCGATTCCTCAAAACTCCTCGGTCCGCCAGCTTCCCTTCTCCCCCCCCCCAAACTACGACGGGACCTACCCCAAGCCCTCCGTAACACTGCTCTACTGTCACTACAACTACAGCTCCACCTTTAATAGTAACCCCATTCTTCATCTCGAACCATCATCAACCTATGTACAATTGTATAATTGCCTGTAAAGCGCTATAATGAATCTCGATAAGATAGCTCCGTCCTCTTTATTCCCATCCTAAGTCCCGGGTTTTCTTTGTGAGCTCCGAGTTGACAATCATACTCGGTGCAAGAAATTAAATGAGGGCTGCCATATCCATTTGCCCCCCACCACCACCCCCCTTTGTAAGCCAGTGCCTGAGCCCCTTCCATCATCGTGGGCGCCCCGGTGCAGTTGCACTGCCTGCACACTTGGCCAGCTATGCCACTGTTGCTGAATAATAACAATAATTATGGTTGGGCGGTGGTGGGGGTGCATTTCAGTTCAGTTCAGTTTCATTTATTAGGTATAGCCCTGTGAGCCATGTGGCTCTTGACTCGAGTGCAACCGCAACAAAACAAAAACATGAACAAACATGAACAAACAACAGACGTGAAACAAATCTTGACTTGAAGCTTTCGTGACTGCCGGAATTCATATTATTTGGGTATTTCGTTAAAGCCACGCAGACAGGTAAAAATAACAAAATAATTAAACATCACGACGTTTCGATCGCAACACAAGCAATCGTCTCCAGGTGAAAAAATTCAGCAGGCAGACTGCTGAGGCAGGACGAAACATAGCGAGAGAGCTACTGCAGCCAGAGGTTATAAAGGTTTGAGATGGGTACAACACAAGGGTAAGTGGGCGGGGCTAGAGATGGAATTTGCAAGTAAATGTAATGGTATACTCCAATCCATGCTGTGTATGGAAAGCAAAAACATCAACAGAACCAGGGGTAGAGGGTAAATGTCAAGTTTGAATGTGCCGGAGGTGCCTGCCCATTCAGTGCCCAAAGCAGAAATTATTTTTCGGGTGTGCGTCACGTAACTTACCGACCAAGCTTCACCGACTGAATGATATCACAGTCGTGTGAGATTATTGAGCTAATACACTAATTGCAATTAAGATTGTTTGAATTGTGTCATTAAATTTGAGAGTTTTGTTTGTTTGTTATTATAAGGATTTTTATTTCAGATGATATTTAGCGAATCAGGAGATCGCCTGGGCTACTTGGGGCCCTGCACTTTTGCTCCGTTTGCTTTTGGCCATTGCCAACCGCTATTGCCAACGTATTTTTTGGAGCAATTGCAAAGTGAATTTTTTTACCGTACGGTACGATCACGCGGTTAGTTGTGATGCACTATCCGAAGTTGGCCATTGCTCAAAGGCGTGTCAGCATGGAGTAGACACATTGTTCATTTATCAACGATAGTGTAATTTGGGAGAATTTTTTTTTAATTGCAAAAAAAGGAGGTGGCTAGCATTGACAAACCCCCCCCCCCCAAAAAAAAAAAATGCAGGCAGCCAGCAAAACACATTTGTATTAATTTGTCACAATTAAATGACTTGCCAGCGTCGCGTGAATTTATTTCGCGCAGCAGCGCTGAGTTTGGCTCCTTCGTTCACGCGCCGCCCTGATGAATCGAACGGAGAGGGGGCGCCTGGCCTCCTCCAGTGATCATTTCGTTTGCGGAATTAGTGACGGAGAACAGCCGTCGGAAGGTGATTACATTAATTTTGTTATTTGGTTTTTAGCCAAACGACTGAAACTGCGAGCGGAGGAAAACATCGTCAGGGCGTGACGATGGGGACCACGCTGCTTGCACAGCCACCAAAGACCACAGTCGGAATGAAGATGCAGTCTGGAGATATAGAATCGATAAAGAATTGATTTCTTATTTCATGTAACCGACGGCAGTGCATCGAGGAAGATCACACATGGCAATTGGCTACATAGGCATACACAGAGATTTACCGAGGTCACTGATCGGCCGACCTCATATTATTTGAAGAGAGAAAAAAAAATCGCAACTCAACACCACATACGTCAATAACACCGTGCGGCCTTCAAAGGTAAAAAAAAACATGTTGACGTTTCAGGAAATGGCCCTTCTTCGGAGCACACAGAGAGGCCAGAGAGAGGTGGAGGCGAGAGAAGCAGAGGAACATTGCCTGAAAAATCGACTTTTATAACTTTCCTTTTTAAGGGCACACAGTTGTCATTGACGAACGTGTTGAGTTGTTGGCTGTGTTTGTGCGCTACTGCCAATACAGCAACAGCGGCATCGCCACCACCACCAGCAGATAGTTTGGCAATATTGGATGGGGAGGGGTGGAATTGCGCACCTGCTCACAGCAACATTTAACGACTGAGAGCGTGCAGATATTCGTTTAACCGCGTTGGTCGGCCAGACTGCGAGAATATCGGCGTGAAATCCACACAGGGAATCAGAATCTTTCTTTACACCGGAGGAATCTGATGAGCTATAAAGCTCTTTTTTCACAGATGTCCAGAGAGAGAGGTGGGGAGGGGGGGGGGGGTGAGACACTTGGCTGGTCAATCAGACGGAGACTCCCGAAGTGGAGGACGCGGACGAAACGATCTGCACGTTGTCATTGTTGTCCATCGAACGTGGCATGCGCCACGCTTCTCTCTCCTCCAGAGCCAGCTACCTCGCCCTTCTCTTCCCCTCTCCCCACCGCTGCCCCCCACACTGGCATCTCCCCCCCCCCACCTCACCCCCAGTTAGAGTTACTTCACGACGATGCACAATATAAACGCGCCGTTGCCGTTCGGAAGTGTGAGGAACATTTTATTCACCCGCCGTGACCTTTACAGCTACATGGATATAATCACCGATGCAAATATTCCCCCTTCAGTATGAATACAGCACGTGTATTTAGTTTATATATACATAAATCGGGGGTGCTGCAGCAGTGCGGGTTTTAATGGTCATCACTTTGAACTTGCAACCCAGATGTCGCCGGTTCGATTCCATCTACCAATGGTGCCGACTTTCTTAAATCTCCCCCCTCCACACTGCCCCTGTCCAAGCCAGCGGTGTCGATGGGCTCACCACAGCCAGTCGACTGGCGGGCAGCTCGCGCGCGGTCGGGGTAAAGCGTGGGTAACGCCCACCTCGTGCCAAGGGGTTTCAGGTCAACGTGGACAAGTCGCTCAAAATAACCTCTAGACGGGCTCTCTACATCTCCCTCTTAGTATGGGGGGGAGGGGGGGGGGGGTCCTTGAGCAGCGGTCCCGCAAGCAGGCAATTGCAGGGCTGCACCTTTAGCGTCCGCAGCAATTATTTATTTAGTTCCCCACAATGGCCGGGCCGCGCTCGCGAGGGCTTATCCCTGCCCCCGCGCCCCAATCCGCAGTCCGGCGTCGCAAAATCAATTTTCATTACAGCCACTCTGGCTGCTCACTCACTCGCTCACTCACTCACTCACCTTCGTCCGCGCTTTCACTGGATAACACCCACACACCTCCCGCCTTGCCCTTGCTCCTCGCCACCCCTCGCTGTGTTTCACCCCCCCCCCCCCCCCCCACACTGCATCACGGGACACACCTCACTCCTCTCCGACACCACCACGGTACATCATCGCGTCTCACCTCACCTCAACCCGCCCCCTCCCCGGCTTCCTCCCCCTCACTCCACCTCTCCGCTCCTCACCGCCCTCCTAAACCGCCGCTCCTCGCACCTCCGATGAGCACGGTTGGCCACGTACGGTGCGAAGGAATTTCCGCGTTGCGTGCATCACCGAACGTCGCTTAATCCTCCAACTCCTGCTCACCGCTCAGCGCCTGGGGTCGTGCGCGTGCGGGGGCGGAGTGCAGCGCCGAGCTCGCCGCGCTACGAACCCGGCGACCCGAATGCGATTCCCCACTCACGGCCAACGCCTGTGTTGATAATGATTCATCCGAACCGGTTACGCGCCTCCCCTAAGTCGGCTCAGCCTCGGATGGGTACCTGGTGCGGCGTGTAAACATCGCCAACCCATCCTCCCCCTCGTGAGCCGTGCTGCTCACGGAACAGCCCTTGCCCCAAGTCCGTTAAGGCCACGCGTTGGAATCTTTGCCTTTGTTTTGCAGTTCTATCCAAGCTCGGGCCCCAGGGAGGGCGGCACGCGTCTCACCATCCGAGGAGAGAACCTGGGCCTGGCGTTCGGGGAGGTCGGCGCTGGCGTGACGGTGGCCGGGACGCCGTGCCACGCGCTGCCGGAGGGATACGTCCCATCAGAGCAGTACGGCACCCCCACCGCAGCCCAACACCCCCACCGCAGCCCCCCACCCCCTCCCTCCTCGCCCCCCCCCCCTCCTTAACCGGAGTCCTCCCACACACCCCCCTCCTCCTCATCTCCCACCCCTCCTCGCCCCCCCCCACTCCTCGCACCCCCCCCCACCTCGCTCCCCCTCCTCCGAGCCCCCCACCGTCCTCCTCCTCGCCCCCTTCCCTCCACTCCTAAAAATACCCTCCCCAAATCTCGAGCAATTTGGCCACCTTCTATGCTGGCTCCAATCTCCCCACGATGACAGAGGTAATGCTACCCCCCTCCCCGCCCACACAATCTGAGCAGTGTGGCCCCCACTGCTACTACCCCCCCACTCACCGCTTGCTGGCCGTCATATACCCCCCCCCCCCTAATCGGAGCAGTATAAACCCTTCCACAGTTGTTGCCGCACTCCCCCCTCTACCCCGCCCCTCAAATGTGACCCCCCCACCCCCAACACTGCCCGCTTTTATGCAAACCCCTTGTACCTCAAACATTTCAGCAGCATGATCCTCGATGCTGAACTTGAACCCCCACCACCCCCACCATCCCAACCACCCCCACATCTCCCACAAGGAAGGTATCATAGAGTCTCAAAGCAATTAATTAATCACTACAAAAAAAAAATTCAATTACCATCGCAACACAGCGTGCTGGACTAGCAGTCCAGAGGTCACCGGTTCGATTCCACGTCCTGTCGCGACAGTTGAAACGACGGCGCCAGTTCCTTAAACCCACTCCTCCACCCCAACCACTTTCCCCCTCTGTCCAATCCAGCAGTGCGAAGGGGTTCATCACGGGTTCGTCGTTCGGTAGCTCGCGTGTGGTGCGGTAACGAGTGGGTAACCCGCCCCCCTCCCCGCTACGCGTTTTGTTGTTGTGGATGAGTAGACCAAATTACCCCCTACAGGGGGCTGTCTCGACAGTAGTGAGGAAGTCATTGCAGGGCTGCACCTTTGTCATCTACCCTTTTAAGACTCTCGGTCCACCGATACGTTGCACAATACAGCCACTGGCATCGCCGCTATCATGCTTACTATGTCCGCGAACTTCGCTCATTGATTCCGTCACCCATACTGTAAATCTCTAGTATTACTGACATATTATTGCTACTAAAGTACATGTAAACGTGACTCAATTGGGATGACATATGGCCATCGCACCCTACTGGTAAAATGTGGCAGGAGCCTCCTGAAAAAACTTCACGAGACTCGATGAGGCTTGCCTTGGCAGACGAGAATAATACATCAGGTTGATGACGAGGTTTATCATATCGACTGATCCGTCTCATCCACACTGAGTTCATCTACCAAACAGCAGGTCACAATAACCACTCGGGCACTCACCTACTAACTCACCCACTCAACTACTCACTCATCCACTCACTCACTCACTGACTCACCCAATCGTGCACTCACCTGCTGACTCACCCACTGACACACCCACTCAACTACACGCTCACTGACTCACCCACTCAGTTACTCACTCACACGCTCACTCACTGACTCACCCACTCAACTACTCAATCACTGACTCACCCATTTAACTACTCACTCATCCACTCACTCATTCACTGACTCACCCAATCGTGCACTCACCTGATGACTCACCCACTGACTCACCCACTCAAATACACACCCACTGACACACCCACTCAACTACACACTCACTGACTCACCCACTCAACTGCTCACTCGCACGCTCACTCAGCTACTCACTCACTCATCCACTCAGTCACGCATGCACCCACTCACTCACCCACTCACCACCCTGGAAGTCACCTCACTTCTCTCTCTGGTTCCTCCCTCGCACTGTTCCACTTTGGAATTCCCTTCTCCCATCGTCTATTTTAAATTACAATAACCTTGCTAAATTAAAGAAAATAAAAACCACACCATATTCACTCATCTATAACAACTATGATAGTACAGATTTTTGCTGGCTACTTGGCAATTTGGAAGCTGCACTCAGCAATCGTGATACAAAATAATAATACAAATGAATAAATAAACTTCATGAAGTTTGACACGGAAACTATCCGTATGGTATAACCAATCATCGGTTGTCCATTAAATTACCGTAATGTGTTGGCTTGTTTTGTTAATTTATGTTTTAGTGTGGTGAATGCCACTTTCTTTTCGCGAATTCGGCAATGTTTTATAATTGAGTAATTTGTTTCGGACAGAGCGCCGCGGAGTTGTGATAATTCATCACCGTGCTCGGCTGTTTCCCGAAAAAAAAACCGCAACGGTTATTCCTTCATTAATCCTTGGTTCTTCAATCTGTTTGTCATCCCCGATGTTTATTAATGGGTGCGTTCGCTCTCATTTTCGAACGTAATTTTTCTCTTTTGTTTATTCGACATCTTTAAACAATAACAAATTACGCCCACCCGCCGGTCTTTTCCCTTCATTTGCACCGCGAGGTTCCTCTCTACGGCCCCGTGATGGGAGCACGGTAAAGGCGCAGCCCTGCAATTGCTCGCTCACGCCCCTCCTGGCAGAAGGGCCTCCACTACAGCGAGCCCTACCAGCTGTTTGCTTGGTGTACCACTCCACGTTGCCCGGACGCGCGGGAAGACGTGGCTGTGCCGTGTACCCACACTTTACCCCAGGACACACGCGGCCTGCCGATCGACTCACTACCGAGGCGACGTTCTCTCGACAAAACCTTCCTCTTTCAAGCCCTTGCGGAAGATCGTGAGAAATTCGCATCGCTCGCTCAATCGCTCGCAACCGGCTATGTCTCATCATTGTCATATTCATTAGCCTTGACCTATCCACTTGTGGATGGAGTCCTCACTCCTGAAGCTGCACTATCATTGGTGGGGATTGTGGAGTGGGGGGGGGGGGGGGGGGGGTAGCGAGGGGTAGACACTCGACCATACCTCACGCCGGGTTGGTCCCAATGATAGGCGACGAGTACCCACGATTTACCCCACCGGACGCGACCTGCCGATGAGAGACTAGTCTAGAGTATTTGGCCATTTCCACGTGATAAGCCACTGCATTTGTGGCCAAGGTTTCGCTTCCGATAAAGAGCTATATATAGCTCAGTGGGCCTTACCCGGTGAAATAAAAATGAGCTTAGTAGTTTTAGCTGCGGCGCAGCCTTTTTTTACGCAGCTGCTGGGCGGACAGAGGCCAGCAATCGTGGTGGCGATGGAGGAAAAGCGATTGAAGAAATTGACCCATTCGTTGTTTCCACTGCCGCGCCAGGAGATGAACTCTCACAAGCGAACTCCTCTGGGTTGCAGGTCCAATGCTCTGCTCACTATCACGCCACGTTGGCATCTTCCCCCACCCCCTCCCGCCCCGAGGGCCCTATTTCCCTTCTTTAATGCGTGTTTTTGTGCAAGAGAAATAACGTTCATTAATTACATTAATTGTACGCGTCACTTGACACGGAGACCATTAATTTGTAGCCGTGTGCGTGTCACTTGACACCCAGGATAACCTTGCAAATGAGATGTTTCCGTCTCAAGGGGGTGGGGGGCGAGTTTGTTTTTTTCTTTCCCAGGTACAATATTTGAGTGAACAATAAATAAATACGTAAGCAAACAGACAAATGCGGACAGCACATCGGGGAAGGGAGCGCGGAGAGACGCACGCCGCGCATTGCCCTTAGGGGTAGAGAATGACGGACGCGTGGATTGGCAAACTCAACGCAAATCATCGATATTGCATTGGGCAATGACGAACGATGGTGTGGATGGGGGGGGGGTGCTCGGCTAGAAGAGAAATTGACCGACGGACGAGGCTTAGTGATGGAGCGGCAGCCAAAGGAGTGAACGCGTCCGACTTGCATGCGTACATTTGGCCACTGCCTGCCAATGCCGTAGCCAGCATCCCCACGTGTGTGTACATTTAACAAACAAAAAAACACAGCTGACGTCATCGTAATAATGGGCAACCATGGTCTGTCCACTGCTGGACGGCATGGATGTTAGTACACGTATCGGGGCACGTTCCGTATGGTCGGAGAAAATCGGAGATTGACAAAAGTCACGCGGGGGGTGTGGGGGGGGGGGTGGTGGTGGTGGCGCGGGGAGGGGGTGGGGGGGAGTGGGGAGGGAGGTTGCGTCTCTCATGACCGTGCGGATGTCGCCGCTGTGACGGCAAGCTCATCGCACCATCTCCCTCCCTCCCTCCCGCACGCTCGCCCACGCCACCAGGTCCACACAACCACGGAGGGGCGCCCTCGACGGAATATTATAATTCATTTAATACGTTGCTCAAATTGAATCCATTGAAGCATAAAAAAAAAATATAATAATTAATGATCTCGTCAGCAATGTCACTGGCTGCTTGACATATAATTAGGCCAACCTTTCCCTCCCTCCCTCAACCCCCTGCCCCCCCCCCACTCCTCTTTATTCCGCATTGTGAGTGGAGCCGTGTACTCGACGTGGGGATTACATCGTGATTCATGGAACTGTGAATCCGACGGAGCAAATCCGGCGAGGCCCCCGAGTGATGGCTCTATCGCGCGGCACACAAAGGCGGCAGCGGCGTCGTACCTTCGCCACCGGGAAGGCCGCTGCTCGTGGTGCGACGTCGCAGCGGCCGCAGCACCGCGCGTCATCCCCAGCCCCCCCCCCCCACCCACGCTCCAGCCCCCACCTTAAGCGTTACCGCGCGCCGTCGAGCGAGACAGACGAAGAGAAAGAAGCGCCGCTTGTGTCCCCGCCGCGTAGCCGCGCTGAACGCTCTGACGTCCCCCCCCCACCAATCCCTGTCACCGCCCCACCCCCCCCCCCCCGCCGCTTCCTCAGGATCGTCTGCGAAATCGAGGGGGCGACCGAGGGGACCCCCGAGAGGGGCCCAGTGCGCGTGTGCGTGGGGGACTGCACCCCTGAGTACACGGCGGTGTCACGGCACGACTACGGCATCTTGGTAAAATGTTCGTCGGCGTCGATCGCTGTTGGCGGCGGTGGCGCCCGGCAGACGCGTGACGTTGGGCCAACGTTCGCCACGTGGGTGGAACCGCTGGGACCAACGTTGGCCCGACGTTGGTCTCGGAGTTGGCCCCAACGTTCCGTGGTTACGGGGCGTTCATGTGAAGGAAGTTTGGGTTAGGCCACGTAATGATCAACCTGTTCCAAATGTCTCCGGCATCGTTGAGAACCCTCCACCACCTGGCGTGGCCAAATAAATCAAATGGGCACGTTTCAGCTTGCCCACCGGTGAGTTGAAGAACGATTCTCACAGCCAAAAGTTAGCAGTTGGATATAGGATGTTTTGTTTGAAGCCGCGTCAAACATCATCAGGACAAGTGTGGATAAGTTGTCACTTGGAGAGATTTCAGCGATTGTTCTCTGATAGCTCCTTGCATGAGAACAGACACAATAACACACGTGGTGGTGCACTACTCACTGTAGCAGCTCCTAATTAGTTTTCAATCTGATGATAATGCCACCGACAGGACAATTGAAATCAGAAAAACAGAGGAATGTACCAATGCAACTCGGGTTAATTAAATGGTAGTACAGTTAACATTCGTCGATGACATGGTTGTCTCAAAATAAACAATATAAAAGGCGATGTTTTAGAAAACGTTTAGGCAATGTCCCTAAAGAGACTCCTCTAAATCTTGACTTAAAGCTTTCGTGACAGCAGGAATTCATATACTTTGGGTCTTTCGGTAAAGTCACGTAGATCGTTTCAAAGAAAATAACAAAAATAACTATAAACTACGACGTTTCGTTGCGATCGAAATGTCGTGTTTTTTTTTGTTATTTTTGTGGTGCAGTGATTGTCCCACACCATCCCTGGGACTAATCAAGAAGGCGGGAGCAAACACTCCACGTACTCTGATTGGTTAGGGCATGGGGAGTCAAGAGGATTGGCCGGAACGTTCGAAAGGGAAAACATGCTGGAGGGTTGGATGAGTGTCACGTGGGACGGTTATGCCAGGTGAGGGTAAGGGTAAAAGAGGGAGCAGGGCGTTGCGGGAGAGACCGAAAACGGAGGTGTGGATCCGTGCCGTGAAATGAAGACCATATTTATACCTTGTGGATACAGAAAATGGCAAGGTTTCTTCTTTCACGTGTATCACGAAAGTGTTTGGTCAAGAGTTAAAACTGCCAGTCGTGTGATGACGCCAATTCCCTCCTGGGTTTCGCGCAGAGCCCGGCCGTGTGGGACCTACGACCGTCGAGGGGTCCGGTGTCGGGCGGCACGAGGATCACCCTGATTGGCCACGACCTGGACGCCGGCAGCGAGGTCAAAGTTCAACTGGGAGATCATCCGTGCCGCCTGGAGAGGTCAGATGATGCCGATGATTGGGGGATGGGGATGGTGAATAGTAATGAGTCAGAGGGTTGATGATGATGATGGTTGATGAGTGATGATGACGAAACAAGTGGCTTTATCAATGAGCGTGAGAGATGATGATGATGATGTGCGGAGTTTGTGTGCTCTGTATCATGCTGCATCTCGTCCTGTGACTCGTGTTGTGTCGCATGCTGTGGCGCGTGGCACAGTGCCTGTATGTATGTACAACTTCTTTCGCACCATACGTGGCCCCAAGTGTGCTAATCGGAGGTGCGTTTGGTGTGGCATGGTGCCTTGTGGCGTGTTGCACGGTGCGTTTGGTATGGTGTGGCACGGTGTATATGGTGTGGCACGGTGCGTATGGTGTGGCGCGGTGCCTTGTGGCGTGATGGTGGTGGCACGGTGCGCGTGGCGCGACACGGCATGGCGTGACACTGCGTGGCGCGACACGGCATGGCGTGACACAGCCGCTCGCGCTCGGAGGTGGTGTGCGTGTCGGGCGCCAGCGGCCGGCTGCACAACGCGACGGTGGCGGTGTGCGTGGACCGCGCCTGCCTCGCCCCCGCTCTGCACTTCCGATACCAGGAGGACCCCCGCATCCTGAGCGTCAGCCCCGAGTGGAGCATCTGCAGGTGGGCTTCCATCCGCTAGGGGCGCTGTTCGGAACAACCCCCCCCCATCTCACACATGATTGGTCGCACGGCCGTTACCCTCGTTCATTGGCGGAGGCTTACGTGCCCGTTGCGATTGATGCCCCAGAGGCTCAAACGTCGACTGCTTGCGAAGCGGAAGGCACGTGGTGGTTTACAGGTGGCCACACCCGCGGTGGTATTCAAAAACCGTGAACCTTCATGATGATCGCGAATGCATCGTTGGGGGGTGCGTTATTCACAAGCCCTCTGTGGACGGATGTCCCTGCAGTGGGGAGACGCCGCTCACGGTGACGGGGCAGAACCTGGGATTGATCCAGCAGCCCAAGGTCCGGGTCCTGCACAGCGGTCGGGAGACCATCAATGTGAGTGGCATGCGGGACGCACGCACGCACGCGGTAACGCACGCGATACTTCACGTGAGCGGCACGTGGGACGCACACAGGCGAAACCTCACGCGAAACCTGACGCGATACCTCATGCACGTGGTAACAACGAGTACCTACGACGGTCGGAACAGCACATAAGGGGGTGGGGGGGAGGGTGGTGTGGCCGGGCCCAAGCCTGGCCTGGAATGAACGTTCACTCCATGCTGCGTGGTCGAAGAAGCCAGATCCCAGATCCCCCAGCTTCGGTTGCCAAAGATTACCTCCCTCCCGCTTCGCCGTTCGATGTTTTTTGTTTTGTTTTTATATCCATCTGTTTTAATCTGGCTATTGCCTTCACGTGTCTCGTGCATTTTGGTGACATCCACGACCCCAGCCTCATCTCCTCCCACCCCACTCCCCTCCAAGCCCGCTCCTCGCTGTCCCTGACCCCCGTGAACCCTAGATGTGTGTACGTCTCTGACGATCGCGCGGGTCGCAAGCACGCTTGACCTCGCAGAGTGCAGCACAGCTCACAAAGGCGAAATCGGCGAAAGCAGCACTTATGGGGATAACGAAATCAACGTTGCTCCCGCCGTCGCGCTGAGCCATCCAGAATGTGTGCGTGTGTGCGCGCGTGTTCGATTCCCGCTCACGGCCAACACCAGTGACGATTGTCTAAACCGGTCCTCTGCCTCCTCTAGGTCGACTCAGCCTCAAACGAGTACCTGGTGTGTCGTTAACATTGCCACGAGGGAGACAGAGGCGGCCGGGCCGTGGTCTAACCACACCCCCCCCCCTCCCCCCACCTTTGTGTGCCGTACCAACCTTCACAGGTGCTATTCGCTAACAGCACTTGCCCCCAACAGTCTGTGTAAAGGCTACGGGGGAGGGAGGTGGGGGGGGGAATCTTTGTTTTTGTGAACCTGCGGCGCACGAGCGAGAGAGAGAGAGCGTTTGAGCCAGCGCGCGAAGGCACGGGGAAGCGCACGCGCTAAGTGTGACTTTAAGAGCTCCCCGCATTTCTCTCGGAGGCCCAGGAACAAAGCCCGGGCTACAATCCAGTAAACAGCCAAATTCATGGGTATAGATTTAAAATAACCGGCGCGAGCCAATCGCCGGCGTTCCGTGCGGACGTGACGCCGACAGTTTTTGCCTGAAATGCTCTCGAAATTGATGCTTTTAAAGCAACGACAACAACGATGCAGTCGCACTTGATGAAGACCTTTGGGGCTCTAGTGTTGTCTGTCATGCGTGTGGCTTTTTGACAAAAAGCGACAAGAACATTGACAGCCGCGGCAAAACAGAACTCTTGTTACCCTCCACTGTTGTTCTCATTCGCCTGACATCTCGCTTTGTGCAGCGGCGTAAAAAAAAAATCCCCAGTTCTTGAAGCCACATTTATGTTTACGTTGGACGCAGCGGATTCATTCAATAGCGTGCCGTGCGCGATGTGGGTATGAACCTTCGGGAGTTATTTCGTTTGCCCGCCTTGCTGAACGTGACCTGACGACCCAAGCTATGGCTGACGGTCATGAGCGAGATGTTGGTGGGGAGATGTTGACCTCGCTTGGCATGCGGGTGGCAGTAGGGTCGATCCCGACCCTGACGCCTGCTTATATTTGGCATTTTTCACGTCTCTCTCGCCGTGTAGAGTATTTGACTGCTATACATTTCCACGTGAAAAGCCACCTTATTGAGCTATCAAAAGTGGTTTACCTGGTTTAAAATTAAAAAAGTTACGTGTGAAATTAGTGCCACCGATACCGGTGGCATTTGTAGCAGAAGTCAATTAATGTTGTCGTACTAACAGAAATAATTATAATAATGGTGATAATAGACATAGCTGATTCAGACTCATAGAGGTCGGAACGGGTATTGCTCAAACAAAATGCAGCAGGAAAACTCTTTTAGTCAATTGACTCAAGATTAAGTTGAGACATTTGATATGTGTGTTTTGTTGTTGCATTCATTATGCCCCACGCGTGGTGAGTGTGCGCAAATAAATCGACAGATACACATACAAAGGCAAATATCCCCCAATGAGTCATACAGATCGTTGAGGCTCAAGGGGTCACTTGAAGGCAACTCAGAACTAGCACTGTGATGGTCGCTTCCACGGGCAACTCTCCAACGCAGCGTTCCAAGAATTCTAAAAACACAATCGGAAAAAAATATACTTTTATATCAGAATTTTCTTAAGTAATCGGGCGTGTGTGCACTAGGGATGATTTTCAGAATAAACAATTTGGGCATTTTTTTTCAAGCACAATTTTGGATCTCTTTCATATCCCCAAAATCGTACACATTATACATTGATTTTAAATATCTCGGTGCGATACATTCGTGACGGCACCTGGGGCCACGTGACGCTGCGGTTTTCGGATTGCTCTGTAAACCGAAAAACAACAAATTTCGCATCGTCCGAAAATGTCATTTTTATCTGGGTTCCGATCTCTGATTTTTACAATGAATCTGAAAATCGCGAGCTCGACCTCGATCAAGCGCCGCTCGCACGTTTACACCTTTGGGCTCCCACGCCGCCGGGCGCGTAGGGAACCAAGGCTCAGCCAACACCTGGCAGCTTGACGGGCGACCGCTCGGCAGGTGTGAACCCCCCCCCCCCAGCCCTATTATCATCGAAATGAGGATGTGATTGCAAAGCCGTCTCATGTGGACACGGTAGCCCGCTGCACATACGTGGGATGATCTTTGTGCCGGCGCCCGCGTGCGCCGCGTGATATTTCCTTTCCCCGCACCCCGCCACCCATCCCTCGCATCCTCCGTATGATCGCCACGGTTGCGAGATGTTAACTTCCTCGCCTGGTATAATCCCGAACCTGACGCCTGGTGTATATTTGGAGTTTGCGTGTCTCTCTGCCCGTGCTCGTGTGGTTTTTTTTCTTCGAGTCCTCTGAGTTGTTCCCTCCACATTTAGAATCAGCGTGCGTTTCGAGTATTTGGCTGCTATAAATTTCCACGTGATAAGCCACTTCTTCTCGCAATCGCTGAGGAACCACAGACAAGGTGGCAGCAGCAGCAGCAGCTCTGCACTACAATCAATTGCCCAAGGCTCTGCAATCATCTAAACATGGAGATGTTTCAGCCAATTAATGAGTGGTTATATATGTGGGATAAAGACCGGAACACCTGGAGGAGTACCCCGCCCATGCGAGGGGACGGACGATGCCAGTCTGCACTGTGCTGTATCGCCGTCTCTTGGCGAGTCAAGGTATGGCAGTAGGTGACCAGAGGCTTAGGTCATCAGCTCACTCGGCTTTGATAACAGTGTAATCACAGGCAACTTAAAATCCCGGCTTCCAATCCAGCATGTCAGCGGTGCCAACTCATCGCTCCGACCTCCCCCAGCCACCACAAGCCCTCTTGACTCGAACAATCATCGTCATTGTTGAATAATGTTGTCGTAGTTGTGCTGCTGTACAGCTCTCCCATGGTGGTGATTTTTGGTTATTCCCGCACGTCGTTCGGCACGATGTCCAGCTACGATGTCCGACGTTTCACTCCACGGTGGCGAGATGTTAACTACTTCGCCTGGTATACAGGAGGTTGCGGGTTTGATCCTGATTCTGACGCCTGCTGTGCATGTTGAGCATGTTCTCCCCGTGGTTGCGTGGATTTTGCTCCCGGTCCTCCAGTTTTTCCCTCCACATTTAAAATCAACGGCTGTTGCTGTAAATGTCCACGTGATAAGCCACTTCGTTGAGCTATCAGTTGTGGCCATGTCACTTCCGAAAATAATTTATATAGCTCAGTGGGCTTTGCCTGGTAATATATATTAAAAAAAATGGTTTTAGTGCTGGGAGCTTCTCAAGCAGACAGAGTAGATGAAGATGCAGAAGCTTAGGAAGGATCTTCCAGCACCTGGAGCGAGTATCACGCGGTAACAACCCAAGTCAAGTGTCCGTATGTTTAACCCGGTGAAACGTCTTAATAGGCCAGGATAGAGAGAGGAGGGTTCATTTGCAAGAGTGACCTGGGTCACCAGAATGACAATAAACAAAAGCAATGAAGCGCAAACATATTAATCGGAGCACGAAACAGCTGTGCTGCACGAGAAGTGTAAAAATATTTGCACGAAAAAAAAATCTGCGTCAAATAAAAAAAAAATCTGTAGATCGGGTGAATTACTTTTAGTCAATTCATCGTACCACATTCAACGTGCGGAAACGTTAAGCAGATATAGGGTGACCTGTTGTCCTAATGTGCAAACAGACGGTGGGGGATATATGTCAGATGCCCCGAAGACAAAACCGGCGAAACAAATCGGAGGGCCATTTTCGTCATTATTCGCATTTCCCTATCGTCGAGATCGCACCGCTCGCTCGGGCTGCACGAGCCACCGGCCGCGCCATTGACCCCACCGAGTCCCGGCTGCGAACGCCGCTGCGCCGAATATAAATCACGGCGCGCACAAAGTGAAGGCAAAGATCCCCCGTATAGCCTGAACAGACCGTCGGGGCAAAGTGCTGTTGTTACCGAGCACGCTGCGCAAGAAGGTGGGTGGCGAACGGCATGCCCGGCCGCCTTTGTCCCCTGAGTGGCGATGTTTCCACACCGTATCAGGTACTCAATTGAGGCTGAGTTGACCCAGGGGAGGCCCGGGACCTTGTTCAGATAATCGTCCCTGGTGTTCGTGGCCGTGAGCGGGAATCGAACTTGGGTCGCCGGGTTCTTAGCACAGCGAGCTAGCAACTACACTACCACTCCCCACGGCGCACACGCGTGCAGAAAGACAAAGATCCCCCCCGTATAGCCTCACCAGACTGTTGGGGCAAGTGCTGTTTGCGAGCACCTATGGAGGCCGGCATAGCACACGAGAAGGTGGGTGGCCAGCACCACGCCCGGCCACCTTTGTCTTCTGAGTGGTGATGTTTACACACCACATTTGAGGCTGCATCGACCTAGGGGAGGCCCAGAACCGGTTCAGATAATCGTTACTGATGTCGGCCGTGAGCGGCAATCAAACTCAGGGTCGCCGG